TCAGTGGGGATTTTTTGGTCGATGTTTAGTTCATCGTGCTGAATATTTTGTGCATCCATGCACTGCTTCTGATGGATTTAGCTTATTAAAGTGGGTGGCATCCAGCTGCAACTCCCTTTTCTTCTCTTTCCTTCTAATCTACTTTCAAGTTACTAAAGCAGCCTATTAACACTTGGTGTTTTCATCAGAACTTGCACATTCCTAGGAGCCTTTGAGCCTGTGATCACATCATTTCCCATCTTTTCAGAATATTCTTTCTCCACAGTTTTGCCTAGCTTCAGTTTCTCCAGCTTTCAAGACCTTCCAGCAAGCATAACAGTACCAGCAGTCAGAATGGCATATTTTCCACAAAGCCTTTTCGACCACTACAAGCCATCGCTTCTCCTCATTGCTTCGTGTAATTATTTCATGTAGAAATGATTCAACATCCTCCTTTGCTGCATCAGTTATCTTTTTATATAGTTACAGATGCAAACATGTATGTTTAATTAGCTAGATGAATAGCAGGATAGCACACAGGTAACAGCATGGTTCAAGGGGTACTTAGACTTAGGTTTCAAAATAGGTCCTCTCCTTGGGGGAGAGATGACTTATGACAGGTTACCTCTCTGGACTTCAGCTTTGCCATCTATAAAGTAGGGCAACCGTATCTACCTGTATCAAGCATGCCTTTTTATTCTGATGCTTTGACATCTGGGGCCTTGCTGACTTCTAGGAGACTGCCCCTCTCAGGGCTAGCTAATTCTTAGAATTGGCAAGGGACCAGCCTGCAAGCATACTTTTCATGTGTGAGCCAACTGATCCAAACCCCATACCCCCAACCACCTCTTTTATTGGGGTCTCATATTCTGGCCACTAGCCCATGTCCTATTTACTCCAGAGCAACTAGGAATAGAACCTTGGCCCCAGAGCCTGCTAAAATGAGTCAAACCAGCCAATCCTACGCCTCTGCCCACTTACCATGCCTCATCCATTCCTTTGCACAGAAGCCATAATAAAGGCTCTTTCCCCTCGATTTCCCCTGCTCCCTCTGCCTCCTTACTGACCCAGGTGCTCCACCATGTAGCTTCCCCATGATGTGTCATACCACCTCCTGTTTCTAGGGAACTGTGAATAAAAACTTCTTTCTTTATGACAGTCCTTTCCATGTCTGCCTGTCTTACCATACCCAATTAAAATCAATTCTGGGTACATTTTCAAACACTACCCATAGGGTTAAGGTAATGATTCTCAACTGGAGGTGATTTCTGACCCTCAGGGGACATATGGCAACACCTGGTGACACTCTTAGTTATCACAACTGGGGTGAGAGGTGTTATTGGCACTTAGTGGGTAGAGGCCTGAATACTGTCAAATATCCTACAATGCACAGGTTACCCACAATAAGATTCTCTCGCCCGAAATGTCAGTCCTGGCAAGGGTGAGAAACCTAGGATTCAGTGAGGATTCGGTGAGATAAAGTAAGTCATATGCTTCCTGAAGTGATTCTCAGACTGTACCACACACTGGAATCACCTGGAGGACTGACTAAAACACCTGTTGCCAGGCCCACTCCCAGAGTTTCTGATTCAATAAGTCTGGGGAAGGACCTGAGAATTTGCATTTCTAACAAATTCCAAGGTGATGCTGACACTGATATGTCAGTACCAACTTTGAGAATTAATAGCCTAATTCATAGGAATTGCTCAATAAATGATATCCCATAATTATTATTTTATCAGATCCTTTAGGTCAGAAACTGGCCCCTCTACTTCATATCCTGTACATCACTGGGGTTTGCAACAGGCACTCAATTAAAGATGCTGATGGTTATTTGACACTGAAGCACTACTAAGTGGTAAACTATACCTAGTAAGTATACATTTGGGACTAGATTAGAGACTGGTCTAGGTAGGAATATGTTGTAGTTAGCTATTGCTACATAACAAATTGCGCCAAAATTTAGTGGCTTAAAGTAACAACCATTTCATTATATTTCATGATTTTGTGAGTCAGGAATTTGGACAGGGCTCAGCAGGTTGATCTTCTGTTACCTGAGGTATTGATTGAAGCTCCTCAACGGTATTTATCTGGGCAAGAGGTTAATGTATTCATACGTCTGACACCTTGCTGGAATGGCTTGAAGGTGGGTCCCCACTGGGACTGTCAACTCGAGATCCTTCCTGTGGCTTTCTGCCGGTGGCCTCTCCATGGGGTGGCCTCAGGGCAGTCAGACTCCTTACATGGCAGCTTAGGGCCCTAAGGAAGAGTGTTGCAGCTAACAGGGTGAAAAGCTAAGTTGGCCTTTTTGACCCCACCCCAGAAGTCCCATTTTGTCATTTCTGCTGTGCTCCATTGGTGAAAGCACTTACAAGCCCCCCAACCCAGTTCCAAGGGACAACATATGGATCCCATATCTTAATGGGAGGAATGCCAAAGAATTTACTGGCCATGTTTTCAAACTACCACATGATATTTGGCTACAGCGCTGTTTCTAGTGAAGGGAGTAGAAGACATAAGCAAATGACCCTAGGACTTTATAATTTTACTCTGTTAATCTCTGTACTGAGCTTTTGATGTTATGTCCTCTCTCCAAATATATCATTGCAAGCCAGACAGCTTCCCTGCACTACTGTCTTCATCTCATGACTGCGAGTTGGAATAAGTATCCATACCTGTCAGAATTGCCTAGTGCAGTAAAACCCACAATGAAATGCCCTTCCCTACTGCAGGCTCATTACACAGCATGAAAAATCATATCCCCCAAGGATACAGTCTCACATGGCATTTCTCTCTCCCACTGTGGTCCTCGTCCCCAGCGTGCCTGTAGCAGAGGTATGCTCTGTCCTCGTCCCCAGCGTGGCGACCGGGTCCTGTACAACCCGATTCAAACAGTAATGCTTCTGTTCTCTGAATGACGCCTCCTCTCACAGGGCTGCACTTACCCCTTGGAGACCCTGGGCTCTCTGACCGGTCAACAGGTCAGCAGGAGCTCGAGGATGACCTCAGCAGCAGCCGCTCGTTATTTCAGTTGCATTTTTCTCTCTGATTATCCAAAAGCGAAAACAAAAAAGTCATTTAAAAAGGCAACCTGTGCTCTTCCAGTACAACAAAGGATCTCCTGGAAATCTTTTTTTTTTTAAATGACATTTTAATGTATGCTTTGTTTTGTTTTCATCACTTTTATCATCATTTCTTAGCAGGGGCCCAAGTGACTTGTCTGGGGTAAGGGGGGTAGATTGTAATGATTCATTTGTATACATTTGTCCTAGTGGGAATTTGATGTGGAGGAAATATTATCAGAATATTAAATTAGAGGCACTCAACATTAGTCTCTGTTCTGTTTGAAACGAGACTCAAGATACAAATATATGGGGCCCAAGGAGGCCACGGTAATTCAGTAATTCATGAGCCTCCTCCAGAGCACCTTGGTTATTTCTAAACTGAGTTGACATAACTTTTCTCCTGTTGCTGGTACCCTTGGTGCTTCTATTTGGGTGAAGTTTTTAGCTAGCCTCTCTTCCCCACTCAGTACGTCTGTTAAAGTCTCTAAAGGCAGCAGCTGATCTGGTTCTGGAGAGGCAGGTACAACCCTCACAGTCCTGAAGACCGAGCACTTTCCAACAGATCTCTTCCAGCAAGGTGTTCTCTTGCAGGTCCTGAGCAGCGCTCACTGTGAATCGGAGCTGACCAGCTCCTGAGACCAGTGTGTCAGTCAGGATCCAACAGGAAAACAGAAACCACTAGAGAATTTGAAACAGAAGGGCTTGGATGTAGGGGTTGGTTATACAAGGATGGGAGAGCCAAGAGGCCAGAGAGGGGACAGTGAGGAATCCAGAGACCATAAAGACCGAAAGCTGACATTGCCACAGGGCAGTGGGAAGAGGGGAGGGAGTTCTGGAGCTCAGGGGCATTGTCGCCAGCTGGAGGCTGGAACCATAGTGGACAGGACCTGCCCGGCAACAACTGGAACCAGAGGGGCTGAGCAGCTGCAGAGAGCGAAGGGAAGAAATTCCTGTTTTTCTCTCCCTCTCCTCACCCTCCACCTTCACCTGTCCGTGCCTCCCCATCCTCCAGTCTTGGAAAAGCAACCGACAAGGGTCAGACCCTTTGATTCAGAACAGGATAGGGAAAGAGCAAGAAACAGACCTGAGGAAAACAGCCAGGAAAATGTGCACGGAAGTAACCCTATGAAACTATTTGCACTCAGTTCTATGTGGTGTCTCTAGGACCCTGCACACATCCATCCTCCGCCCAAGGTCATTGTCAGCTTCTTGAAGGTCTCAGCCACTGACATCTATTCTGACTACACTGATGTCACCTTGTCCAATAACAAATAGCCTTTCTTTGTAAGGCCCCAACCTGGTCAGATCTCTAGTTTCGGTCAACTGCTCCCCAAGCCTCCCTGGTCCCTGAGGGCTTCTTCTCCTTGCTTACATGTTTGCTGCCTCCTAGCTCACTCTTGTTCCCACTGTCTCTTGAGCATCTTTGCCAATTTGTGTCAAAGATCCATTTTTGTAAGCTGATCCCCAGGTCCAGTGGGCATGGTCTGGGTTTGGTGTCACATAATCCTCTTGTTCACCATAGAAATCTTAACTACTTTTTCTCTCCTCCAGCAGAAGGTGGAGTTTTTGCTCTCATGGTGGGCCCAATTCAAGGGAGAAGGGGGTTAGATTTTACTTTTTTGCAGAAGAGCTTGTGGGATGGGAGATATTTTTGCGGCCATCTTGGGAAATACAACCAGCCCCAGGCAGAGACTTAATAGATCTCCTCAATCCTAATTAATAGTTTTTCTCAAAGATTTCCTCCCTCCCTCTGACTCTTCCTCCCTCTCCTCCTTTTTGTTTTCTTATAATACCTAGAGACAGGAAAACTTAATCTTTGGGAAACAGTACATCTCTGCATACAGCTTAATCACAGAATACACCTTGAAATATTTATAATGGCTCTTTATTTTTTCTTGATTTCAACAGACTAGACTCAAACACCTTCACCACTAACATATTCTAATATATTAATAGAAAGAAACTGCAATCAGGACCTACCCTCAGAAAACTGACTCCACTTGCCATCTTCCCTATGGTTGTCTGGCAACACAACCATATTCTCGGTATGTATAACACATTCTCCACCGTAGAGTTTCCCTGCAAGTGCTCCTCTTTGTCTTTGCCCACGTCAGGGAGTAACCAGATTCACTCCCTCCCCTTATGACAAGCCTTACAGTGAGCAAGTCAGAGAAAGCAACTCTGAATTGATTTGATTAGGCCTACTCAGAGGGAACTGGGACTGTTATTCAGGTGGGGAGATGGCTCTTGACAAATCAAGAGGCGCCATAGTAAAAGGGGGTCAGTCCTCCAGTCCTTTCTGCTGGCCTGACTTGCTCTTTCCAAAGGGAAGGGGGACAGAACACCCAGGAAGAGGTCTTCTGGAGTGATCTAGCTCCCACAATGAGGAAGTAGAGAAAAGTCACATGTGGAGAAGAAAAGATGGTCTTTTCTTCTGAAGGTAAGTATTCTACAGAAACTCAACAGATCACCCCATCTTAATCATGAAGGCAAGAAGGCAAGAAGATGGCAAGTGTAGGCAGAACACCAAAATGTTCTGACCTCCAAACAAGCATTAAGTCCTTAACGGAGAGAGGACAGGGGTAATTCAGAGCAAGTGCAATGCCCTCTATTTGGGTTTCGATTTCCTTGTCTCTGGGGCCAATTGCTGGGAAGTACAATGGTTATAGTTGTGCTGAGCTTGGCTCTAAAAACCTGGGGTTTTCAAACCTATCAGAGCTAGCACCTCTTTATTATAGCAACTGTTTTGTAATGCCCCTTTAATACCCAGAATAAAATTAATAACATAACTCATCTTCACACATTTCAGAAAGATAGCAATGCAATGCCTCAACGGACACAAAAGAAAAACACAACGCTATCATAAAATAACGGGTATTTCAATGTGTCAACGCTCAGCCACTGTGCGCCGTGGCATTGGAAGCCACGGCAAGTCATGAGGCTTCGCGCATGCCAAGAGGCCCCAGGAGCGTGAGAGTTACAAATGCAGCCCATACAGGTGGCTGTTTGTCCACATGTGTAGATGGGATTTTCTGAAATGATGAACAACTCTTGACAATTCTCTGAACAAAGCAGAGTGTAATCATCTTCTTGATTTATATGGTTGTATAAAATTCAGTGTATACTAAAACAATGCACAAAGACCTCTTGTAAATTTTGAAAACGGAGTCAAGTTCTAAGTTACCAGAATGTTTGTCAAGTTTTTCATGTATGGAACTATCCCGTGGAACAGTCAGAAGTCATGTGGGATGCAAGATAATTTTGTTGTTGTTGGCCCCCACCCACTAAATGGCAGTAGTACCCCCTACCTTGTAACAACCCCAAAAGGCTTCCCCAAATTTCCAGCATGCCCTCCAGAGCCTTGAAAACCATGCTCTCAAGTGTTAATCAGCTAGCCTTGGGAGTGTTTTCTAAGGGTTCTAAGAACCGTAGACGTATGACGTGATTGGCATAATTATTCCTTACCACACGCGAGGAAACTGAGGCACAGAGAGGCTACATAACTTCCCAAGGTCACAGAACAAGGATGCCCGTGGGGGTGGAGGTGGACCATAAGCCACCCAGAACCGGCAGGAACCATTACCACTCCCTTTCTTGATTCGCGTCTTCATTTGTGAGACCTCTTTTTCCAGCCTGCTTCCTACTGACAGGTCTAGGCTCCAACCACATGAAAAAGGCCTCCGGATCATCAGAGAAAGCTGTTTACTTACCGCATCCTGTTTGTCTTTCGGAGCGTGGTGCTCCAGCGGTGTGGGCTGGCCCTTGGCGGGGCGCTCAGAGCTCAGGCCTCCCTTCACCCCGAGACCCTTCCTCGTCTTGCTTTTCATCTGCGGGTCGCCGACCCACTTCATCCATTCTTGCGATATGATAACTAAGCCAGGCCAAAGAGGCATCATTTACTGGCTTCCCTCTGCTTTTCCAATTATCCCATTTGAGCCTCGCTAATTTTCTCTTCACCTCTCCTCACCTCGCGGAGCTCTTCCGTTTGCTCTGTCAGACCAGCCGGTACAGCGACGATAACCCGCTTTTCCTCCCAGAGTCATCGCAAACAAAGGCCGGCTTGGCCAAGTGGGGTGTTTCAGAAGCGAGGAGCTCGCCTCTCACCCCCGGCTGCTCAGCGAGTGGCTCAGTGGGAGCGTCTGCGAGCAGATCTAGAATGCAGAGTGCCCTGCTCAGCGCCAACGCCTCCCTCAGCTCTGCCTTAGCACGTTCGAGTCGGCTTCCTGTGCAGCGCGGCTGTGGGCCCCGCATCACCGATGGTCCTAAATTAAGTTGTGGAAGACAAGGGCTCATTTTCCTCGGGGGAACTTGATGTCAAGAAACTAAACTGAAGTCTCAAGGTCTTTGAAAATCTACTGGTTACTCTGGCAAGGATCCCCCGCTAGGATCTCCTCCGAGGACAGCATCCAGCTGCATGGGATCTTTTGAAGGCGCACATGCATTCAAACAGGATTATGCACGTGGCTTTAATTCGCATGTGCCTATAACAGTGACTCTAAGGGAGTCCTCAAATCAATGCTTTGGTGTTGTTCTCTAATGGCTATTTTCCCCACTTTCCTCTGCTCCTATCACTCTGCTACCCGACACTCCTTATCAGAAATAAAGATAGAGGGGCGCCTGGGTGGCTCAGTCGTTAAGCGTCTGCCTTCGGCTCAGGTCATGATCCCGGGGTCCTGGGATCGAGCCCCGCATCGGGCTCCCTGCTCAGTGGGGAGCCTGCTTCTCCCTCTCCCATTCCCCTGCTTGTGTTCCCTCTCTCGCTGTGTCTCTCTCTGTCAAATAAATAAAATCTTTAAAAAAAAAAAAAAAGAAAAGAAAGAAAGATAGCAGAGGATATAAAAAGACAAGAAAGAAGATAGAACCAAAAGCAAAGCTCATGAGGACTGTGGGGCAGATTTTTGGAGATCACAGTTTTAACTCAATAGGTCAAAGATAAGGGGTCTTCGATATCCAGCATTTGAGACCCTGAGACTAAACCCAGCCTTCTAAAAAGCATATAATCCCAGTCACATCACAATCAGAATACATGATATTTTCCTCAGTCGTTAATAAATATAGGGGCCATGAGAAAGAGATCCTGTTCTCGTCTCTTTTTTATGCCATGTCTCCTTCCTTCTGTTTTCTCCCGAGTCAAATAAACACAAAGGTATTCATCTGATACTAAATTGTCTCCCCCTCACAGATTTGGTAGAGAAATTGGTCAAACTACAAGAAAATATTTTAAGCTCATCTCCTGGGGGGGAAAAAAGGGGTTAAAAATCAAATGTATTTTATTAGTTATATGAGTAAATAAAGTATTTAAACTCATCTTTCAGATTGTACAAGTTCAACCTCTCAGCGATTACAGTGCTGTCTACTAAGAAAATATGCTATGTCCGAGACATACCTCTTATGTTTCAATTCCCCCTTTGCCTCCTGCAAGCCTCTTCATAATAAAACCTAGTCTTGTAGTTTCATATGCCACCAGTGTCTCTTGCCTCTCCCTCTTTCCATGCACTGGGCACACGTTTTCTAACTAGTCACTGGTCATCTTCCCCAGGATGCCCCTCAACACCTCCGGCTTGACACACCCAAACCTGAACTTGCCTCCCCTAGGCACAACCCACTCACTCCCCTTCCCTCCCATTCTCCAAGTCTTCTCCATCCCAATACTGCTGGAAGGAACCCTGTGGTATATTTGCTTATATTTGACTTTGGGACAAGGTATTTATGTACACAATGTATCTCTATACTAGATGCAAGTTCTTTCAGAGTAGGACCTGTGTTTGATTCCTCTTTATAATCATCACATCGTATAGCAAGTGCCTTACCCGTTGGAATACGCACTAAATATTTATTTCATGAATGGAGTGAACACTCAGCCTTCAGCGTTGGTGGCAGTGAAATCAAAGGGCCCCAAATGAATGGAGAAGAACTGTAACACGATTATGGCAAAGTCGAGGGCAGGGGGAAGGAGGAACAATGCCCTTTCCAAATGCCTTACAGAGTGCTAGTCGTTCTAAATGTTTAATAAGGCATGGTTGACTGACTGACGAATAAGGTTCATCCCCTCTGGAAAGTAGTTGGAGTGGTGGGGTGATGGCATTTTCTTTTCATTTGCCCCAGGGACACAGAGTCAGGAGCAAGCAAGGGGACATATTATATAGACTTTCTGGCAAGTGTTATGCACAATGGATCCCAAGTTTCTGCCCCTGCTGAACTGCCACAGACATATATAATGTCTACAAACTTCAGATGAAAGGTGATAGGTCAGCGCCATCCCTATCACAGTGTTTCCTTTTCCCACTCACTATACCATGAGCTTCCTAAGAATGAGGATCTACCTTCTTTATTACTTAATTCATTCATCTTTATAACCATGATGCCTGGCACACTGGTGCTCAATAAATATGTGTGGAACAGCAAATGTTTCTCGGAGCTTAATATAGATGAGGTTAAAAATACTCCTAGAAGGACACTCAATTATTAAGAAAAACTATTAATCAGCTGTTTTTTTAAGGTTTGCAGAAAATGGTCCTAGAAGTAATAGGCCTAAACTAATTAAAAAAAAAAAAAATTAAATCAGAGTAGTTCTCCTCTTTCACAGTGTGTTCGCCAGACCACCTGTATCAGAATTATCAGATTCATGTGCCCCCACTCCCAAATGACTGAATGTTCTTCTTTGAGATGAGCATGGGCAACTCACTTTTTTGAAGATTTTATTTATTTATTTATTTATTTATTTTAAAGATTTTATTTATTTATTTGAGAGAGAGAATGAGAGAGAGCATGAGAGGGAAGAGGGTGAGAGGGAGAAGCAGACTCCCCGCTGAGCAGGGAGCCCGATGCGGGACTCGATCCCGGGACTCCAGGATCATGACCTGAGCCGAAGGCAGTCGCTTAACCAACTGAGCCACCCAGGCACCCGAAGATTTTATTTATTTGAGAGGGAGAGAGACAGAGTGACAGAGACAGTGAGAGAGAGAAAGCAAGAGCAGGGAGGAGAGGGAGAAGCAGGCTCGCTGCTGGGCAGGGAGCCTGACGCGGGGCTCAACCCCAGGGCCCTGGGATCGTGACCTGAGCCGAAGGCGGACACTTAGCTATGGAAAAGAGCCAAGAAGTATTCTCACTCTGGGGTCCTGAAGCATAGGACAGATCTCTTTGTCTTAGATGGCATAGAGCCAGGAAATGGGGCAAGGTGGCCTCACAAGATTCTGGATACTTTGAAAAACAGATTCTCTATCATCCCCCTCAAATTCGACATGCACAGGAACAAAACTCTGGACCTGTCATTTCTGTGCCGGTGATGAAAATGGCTCGACTGTTTTCCTTTTCAGCTGCTCTTTCTTCTGTGCAGTACATCCAATATTCTTGAATGCCTACTTAGTGCAAGGCCTGGGCAAGATACTTTAGAAGAAACTTGGAATACAATTCAACCGTCTGCAAGAAGTTCACTACCCAGGACATGCTAGGAGAGATAAGCACATGAAAATTGGGGAGCAATTCAAAACATGAGGAGAAAAGTCAAGAGAAAGTATTTGTTTCACGTGTGAATAATCATGCAAACAACATATCAGGATATTCTGAGGGGAGTGATCATTTCAAGCTGGGAGTCCATTTGAGCCCCCTCTCTAAGACGGGCGAAGATTTGGAAAAGCAGAAAGGTAAAGGAAAGGTGTGTCCAGGAATGGGAATGGCACGAGTGTGTTTTAGATTAGGAGGGGTGGGGGTTAACAGAGAAAGGTGGGAAGTAGATGAGTAAGTTGGAGACCTGCCTCTGGGGGTGGTTGTAATGCCATGCCACGAGAATTTTAGACATTGTCCTGCAGGGAAATTGGAGGATTGGGAGTCAGTGCAGTTTGGAGAAAGCAGTGTTTTAACAAGATTAAGTGTTTTAACAAGACGGCAGTTTTAGGATGATGTTTAAAGAAGGGCTAAAGTGGAAGAAGGGCTCTTCCACTTCTACAGTGAATGAATGTCTGACCAAGTTTGGAAATAAGGAACTTGGAGTAATGAGCTCAAATGAGAGAGAGGTCGGCATGGCCTTGGCCTTGTATTCCAGAGAGAAGAGCTAGTGCCTCCGTTAGGGATGACAGCCTGATTAGATGGATTGTCTTCTTCAGAGAGATGCAGAAAACATCTTAACCTAACCCTCAGTCAAAAATTAGGCATGTGATGGAGATGGGAGGGAGGGGTCTCCTAGACAGTTGGCAATAGACGCTGGCCTCCAGGAGAACCACAGAAAACTGCAGAAAGTGATCGATGAGGACGTACTTCCGGAAAAGGGGACAAGATGAAACCTTAGCTCAGATATGAGGAAAAACTGGAGGGAAGCTTGCTAATAAACATCTTATCACAGCCTGAACATGGGGGTGATTTGCGCACCTGGGTCTGGGCCTCCTGGAGCTATGTGGGCAGGAGGAAAGCATCTACGGGGCCGAAGTGTTTGGCAGAGGGTGGAAAGAGCATCTCCCACAGGTGGCCTCTGTGACAGACCCCTACGTGGTGGGCGTGTGGGCTGGCAGGGAGAGCAGCATGACCACCTGCATGGGGAGAAGGAGCCGTCACTAGTGGAGAGGAGAGGCTGAGTCTGTGAGGACCTCGTTCCTGCCTGGGATTCAAGTTTCCACGAGCTTGTCGCCAGTTCTGCCCAGGAATGTTCTCTACCTGGGGAAGCAGAAGCCGAAATGGGGAGTCACGACGCCACAGCCACAGGTACAAGATAGCAATGGGACATGGATTCTTCTGGCAGCTCTAGGGTCCTGCAGGGCAGAAGGCTGTCACGTGGAAGCAGGAGGGTAGAAACAGTCATGAGGATGATGCTGGCAAATACTTACTGAGTGCTTATTATGTGCCAAGCACCATACTAAGCTCTTTACGCATTCTGTTCCTTTAAATCCCCATACTAAACTTAAGAGGCACTATTATTATCCCCAGATGAGGAGACCGAGGCTCAGAGAGGTTAAATAGCTTGTTTATATGTATAGCCTGGGTTCCTCAACACTGCCAGACACCTCGTGACTCGCTCCCATTTTTTGTTTTGTTTTGTTTTGTTTTGTTTTGTTTTTTTGGTCTGAAAAAGACACTCAGGGGAAGACCGGAGGCACATAACTGACTCTCCTGCAGGTTACAGGCCTCTCCCATAAGTGTGTACACTCACAAACAGAGGCCTTGACCAAAGCCCATGCACAGCTAAGTGAAAATCTTGTCGTCCAGATGACATCCTGTTGCTGGCAAAGGGAAAAAAATAAATTTGCGAAGCTTTAGATGTAGCCGTTGTCTCCATCAGAGGCAAGACCATCTCTGTAATGATGAAAAGCACCATAATTTTAACCTTGTTATTGGACTAAGCACAATTTACGCTAGTGATGGGAGAAAAAGAAAAGATTTATGAGATGTAAGATAAAAAGATAAACTCTTGTCCCTTAGCGGCTATTAGAAACATTGCCAAAATACCATAAATGTGTGAAAGATGACATGATTATTTTTGCATTTCCACTGGGCATTTCCTACATTGCAGGAATTTACAGGGACAGAAGTCCCCAGTACAGATGGTAGAGCTGGAGGGGAAATGAGGAAGAGTGAGCAGCCACATGCCCAGCTCCTCCTCCAAGGCGGGGGCCCCAGTGGCCAAGCCCCAGGTGGGGACGGCTGGGGAAGGCAGGTGGCTTTAGGTGTGGACAGCACACCCAAGCTGCCTAAGGTGCAACACCTGCCAGCATCCTCTTTCTGTCCCACCTCTAGCCACCTGCGATTAGGGCAATTTTGGTGGCAATACCCTGTCCTGTGTTTCATCCGGATTTGGTGTCAGATTCTGGTCCACCCCAAGATCTGGAACGTGAGACAGCGGCCAGGGCGGTGAAGGAGGCACAAGGAGAACAAGATGATGTTCATCTACCTGCCCCCCAAAGCCCATAAACAGAAGCTTCCAAGAAGTTAGGGCCGCCAGCCTGGCCCCAAGGAGCCACGGAAGGTTTCCTTTTAAAAGAGAAAGGAAATAGACACCGGAATGTGGTTTAACTGAAACCAGCTTGAAATCAGCCTTGCAGCTCGCCAGCCTGGACGGGTTATCCTCGAAGGGGCATCATCGACACTAACATCTGAAGGCCTGCTCACAGGAAGCTGGTCATGACTCGGGCTGCTGAGTCAGGTCCAAGATCCGGGCTGTGTGGGGCCTGGGGTTACATCAGGTAATGGGTCCAGTGGCCATCCTCATGAGCAGGAAGTAAATTTGGGCATTGACCTCTGGAGAAACTTTTTTTTTTTTTAAGATTTTATTTATTTATTTGAGAGAGAGAATGAGCACATGAGAAGGGGGAGGGTCAGAGGGAGAAGCAGACCCCCCGCTGAGCAGGGAGCTCGATGCGGGACTCGATCCCGGGACTCCATCCCAGGACCCCAGGACCATGACCTGGGCAGAAGGCAGTCGCTTAACCAACAAAGCCACCGAGGCGCCCAGATATAGATTTTTTTTTCTTCTTAAACCATTATTTTTTTTTTAAGATTTTATTTATTTATTTGAGAGAGGGAGAATGAGGGAGAGCACATGAGAGGGGGGAGGGTCAGAGGGAGAAGCAGACTCCCTGCCGAGCAGGGAGCCCGATGCAGGACTCGATGCGGGACTCGATCCCGGGACTCCAGGATCATGACCTGAGCTGAAGGCAGTCGCTTAACTGACTGAGCCACCCAGGCACCCCTGGAGAAACTTGATAGTAGTCTTGGTTTTAGTAAGCCAGGACAGCAACTATTAGGGAAATTGGGGTTCCCCGATTTGCTCATCTTGGGTGGCATCAATCATTTATTTCTTCAGCACAGGGCTATGCACCTCATGGGTCTGTGATATAGAAGCCCGCTGACTGCTTTAGGTTTCACTTTGCACAAACCGAGCGTCATTGCAGTCGATCCCTATCTCTCCAATACAGATATTAAGAGAATGAGTTACCAAACACCCGCAGATCGCTTGGGGTGTCCTAAAGAGAGATGCCACGTGCATAGGTGCCACGGAAGTCATCCTGTGAAGTAGCAACGTGAAGGCCTTGCATGGGTAGAAATGAGGGCCATGTGCTGGAACTTCTGGACTGCATCGTGGTGCCTCCTGTATCCAATCAAGGGAGTACTTGAGCTGCTCTATTCCCTATTTAAATTTAGGCTGCAAGTGGAAAAACAGTTTTTACAACTCTAAATGCACTTTCTACTACAGAGAATGGTGACTGGAGCAAAAGCAAAAATAGCTGCTCACACCATGCTCTGAGAAAATCTAAATCTGAAAATGATCATTTTTATTTGCATGCTACCAAATAAGGACACGGGGGAAGCAGTGAGTCACCAGTGTTCTAGCACTTACCAGATTCCAACATGCTGTGAGGGTATTCTTTAAAATGAGGTTTGGACATTCTAAAATTTACATGAAGCTTCCAACACCAAGCCCCCCCCTCCCCGAGACATGTAACCGTAAGTTCGGAAAAATGGGCCGAATCACGACTTTGCAGAATAGTTAGGCTGCTGCTCTGATGAATGAGTTCAATACTTTGAGAACCTCACATATATGGGACTAACACTTCACATCTGAAGAGTACCTTAGACTTTTAAAAGTCCTTTCACCTACATCACCTCATTTGATCACATTCGATGCTCACAAAATCCTCAAGGCAAGGTGTTTGTAAGTGTGTGGTTGTCATATTAAAATATCATTGAACCGTGGGGCTTTTTGTAGAGACAGGAAGAATCGCTGTGGGAAGGGAAAAAAGGAACAAACAAATGAAAACTAGGGGATTTGGAGATCTAAGCTCCCTGTTAACATTTTGCGTGGCCCCCATACAAACCCAAGTTCTTAAAGTGCCAAAACCCAGCTTGCAAGCTAAGTGTGTTTTCTTCTTCTCTATGCTTTCAGAAGACAGTTTAAAGAGAGTTAGGGAATGTTCTGGCCTTTTGTTTTGAAACTTCCTCTGCTTGTTGTCTCCTTGTCTGCAGACTGTGAGATTGGTCTATTTGCTTTAAACAGACTGAACAACCTCTAAAATAAGCAGACTTCTATGACGGGCTGCCTCATTTTGGATGTGCAAAGATGTTTACTGAGCTTCTCATCTAAGACTTGATTCTTCTCTCAGCGTGACACAGTTAAGGGTTTAAAGGGGGTGCGCTGTCTGCATGTTTTAGAAGACGGCAGAAGAAAAATGCCTCTGTTCTACAGCATGATCAGGTATCTGCATCTCCCCAAGGATTTTTCATGAACCTTAGAAGGAAATCTGTATTATTCGGGTTCCCAAGGGCAAATCACTCTTGCCAAGAGACCACTGAGCGGTTTTCAAAGATGTAAAACATTTCTTGTGTTCCTAGTAACCAGTTTAGACCTGGGTCAGGTTGGGGGTTCAAGACTTTCATGAAACCAAGGAAAATCATTTTCTGGAGAGTTTTAGATAATTACCATAGGTTTTATATATTAACTTACAGCAAAATAATGAAATAAACAAATGAATTTATATCCACATTGCCCCCTGCTTCATTGTACAGAGAGAAAGGAGTACTAAAGAGGGGGAGTGAAAGAGACTGCCAAGCAAGGATGTTTATACTTCTGTCCATCCCCCCACGACCACCCCAACTTATCACCCATCTTTGTGCAACACAGCTCACTGTGTGTGGGCTTCTCCCCACCTCACCGCCCCCCCCCCCCCCCGGGGGAAAAGAGGCCATGAGGGTGAGCAAGTCAGGGGTGTTGGGCATCAGGACATCAAACAGTAGATCATAATAGAAATCAGGGTTCAGGACACAAGGGTCCTGGTCCTGCCTCTATCTCTAATTATTTGTGTGACTTTGGTCAACGCATTCTCCCTCATTCATCTGTAAAACCAGAGGTTAGACTAAGTGTTCCCCAAGCTAATAGCTCCTAAAAATTAAGATTGTCTTGGTAGGGACCATGTAAAGAGGTTGTGAGGCAAAGTATGATTATCCCTGTTAGCTGTAAAAGAATAGAGCTGGGAGGTGGTGTGAAAATCACCCGCAAGGAAGCCTTGTGATGGGTTGGAAAACCATACAGAAACATAGAATTGTGTGCAGTGTATACCATGCACGGAGGTCTATGAGGCAATATAAAATGGGACTCGTATAAGAAAGTCCACACCTTAAAGCAGAAAAGTCAGGCTTTTGAACTGAAGCTGTGCCCTATTCCTTTATACAATCTCTCCGCATGATAATGTAGCACCTTGTGCACACAATTAAATGTCAGCCACAGAAAACATTTCCCTTGGCTTTGTTGTTTCAGAACGGGATTCTTTTGTCCTCAATATAATGGATATGCAGAAACAATGACAGAACAGAGATATTTTCTAAATCGATGACAAACACACTGCTGCTTCCTCCCTCCCTCCTTCCTCCTTATCCCCACCCCCCAAAATAAATCATTGTTCAGAAAAAAAAAAAAAATTCCATTGTCTATTGTCCACGGAGATCAAGATCTGCCTAGGAACAGCTCTGGCGGGCTCGCAGTGGCCCCAAGCAGCCGGTAGGTGGCGCACGAAGGCAGCGCAGGCGGGAACGCGGGGCTGATCCGGGCTCGGTGGGGAGAGGGGAGCAGGGGTCCCGCCGCCCCCACCTCCGCCCGCCCGCCGTCTTCCACCCCCTCCTCACGTGCTAATTGCTGGATACTCTACTGAGACTTGGGTTAGGGGAGAAGAAAGCGGGAATGGGAGGCGGGGAGGGGAGGTGGGGAATCCGGTTCCGAATACACAAAGGCTCCGGGGTCTCGCTACCCGGGAGCAGGGCGCCTCCTCTCCTCCCTCCCCCCGCCTCGCCCCGGGGCCCTGGCTCCCGCCAAAAGAGCGAACCGACCACTGGGAGGAAAATGGTGATCTGGGTGCGGAGCCCCACGCGCCGCGCTGCCGCGGCTCGCCAAAGCCTGGCCGCCTCCCTCCCCGGCTCAGCCATCCCGGGCTTCGGAGCCCCGCTGCACCACCCCAAACTCTGTCCAGCCGAGCGTGGGGCTGCCTTCCGACTCGGGGTCTGCCCAGGCAAGCGCATGGAGGCACGACCTGCCCGCGGGGCCTGGGCCCCGCCAACGGGGTCCGGCCGAGCCCCGGAGCAGGAGGGTCCCCCGTGGGTGCCTGGGCCCGGCTGGCGCCATCAGCAGGCCTCCTTCGGAGAGGAGCCGACAGACCCTGCCCCTCCTGCGCTGGGGGCTTTGGCGCTGTCAGTTCACGCGGCGATGAACCGGCCACGCGGTCGTACGACCCCCAACCTCTGTCTAGTAGAACATGGTGTTAAGATTCCTGATGGCCCTGAAGTCAGAGGCCTGGGTTGAAACGTGAGCATTAACACCTGGGGCTTTGTGACCTTGGGGCTGTTCCTAAACTCCCCAGTCTTCCATCTCCCTAGCTATAAAATGCGGCAATAATACTTACCTCATAGGAATGTTGTGAGGATTTTTTAAAAGTGGTACTTAACTTAGCAGGAGGCCTGGCTGCAGTAACTATTATTATTAACAACCTGACTCTCCTTGGAGGGGGAGGGAGATGCACAGTTTGCTGCCCTTGAGACAGATCTGGCGTCATTATTGCTAGACAGGAGAAGGGTTGGAAGACGAGAGCCAAGGGAAGGTCTTCAGACTGGCCACTTCTAGCAGAAGATGCCATGGATCTCTCTGTGTCCTCAGCCACAGGCCCTCCTCCTGCCGCTGAGGCTGGGCTGTGGCTAATGTTAGGTTCTCTTCTTCCTCTCCCTGGATATACATTCTCACTGGTTTTATGCCCTCTCCTCCTTTGGAGAGTTCTGAGAGAGCACATCACATGGGTTTTTGGAGTCAGAACACCCCCAGGTAGGAATCCTGGATCCCTCATTTGCTAGCTGTGAAACTGGGCAGGTCATTTAAGGTCCCTGAGCTTCAGTTTGCTCCTCTAAAAACGTCGGTCTGATTCTTACCTCACAGGGTTTCTGTGAAGACTAATGGAGATGGTGTACATAAACTGCCTATCATGGACTATCTCTTCAGTAAATTAAAAATTTTCCATTTTACAGTTGAAATTAGGTTAGATTGTCTTGCAGAATATAATGGAAGTTCACTGGAATTTCCACAGCCATTCAGCAAAGGTGAACCCAGCAACCGCTAACAATTAGCTTCTCTACTCCCATCTGAGTCAGCAAAGCTTATTTCCCCTCCAGGAAAAGAGCAGAAATCCAGTGAGGGCACATTCTCCCTCAGAGCCTCACAGGTATAATTCAGACACTTAAATAGGCTTGCAAACTCTTTGGGGCCACCCGGTGCCCATTTTAGAGCGATACTCCAGCTGGAATGTTCTTTAGGGACAGGTCTTGCTTTAAAGTTGCATTCTAAGCCGTGGTGTGTGCCGGGCTCATTGGTGCCTTGGTGACTCCTTAGTACCGACCACATGTGGGCTGCTGCCAAAGCGGAAGTGTGGTGGCTGGGGTGTGGCACGCAGCCACCCCCTGCCTGAGGCCGGTGGGAGGTCAGGAGCTGTTGACCCTTCTCTAAGAGGACACTTGGGCATTCCCATGAGCATCAGAATTGTATAGCTCTTGGGAGAAGCTCAGTCAACGGGTGGACCAATTCCCATGGGCAGTGGTACGGCCAATAGGCAGCTTTCAAGATGGCCCCCAAACCTTGCCTCCTGATATTCACGTCCTGGTGTAGTCTCCTCCTATATTAAACAGGGCTGACTTGTGTAACCCAAGTGAGTATTATAAAATGACAGTGTGTGACTTCCAAGGCTAGCACAGAAAGCACATTGTGGCTTCTACTTGGCTCTCTCTTCTAGCACTCACTGTGGGGAAAGCTGACCACTATGTCATGAGAATACTCAAGCAGCTCTATGGAGTGCTCCATGTAGCAAGGAACAGGCCTTTTGCCATCAGCCAGCACCAGCTTGCCAGCCATGTGAGGGCATCATCTTGGATGAAGTAGATCCTCTCACCCCAATCAAGCCTTCAGATGACTGCAGTCTTGGCTCACATCTTGGCCACATGAGAGACCCTGAACCAAAACCACACAGTTAAGCCATCCCTGAATTCCTGACTCACAGAAAAACTGTGTGTGATCAAATAAATAAATAAATAAATAAACAAACAAACAAATAAATAAATAAATAAAAATTTAGGCTTATTTGAAGGGTAGAGATGTTGTATTCGATGTATTAGTACTAGATGACTAATTCAGCAACATTCAGGAGAGCCATAGGGTTTCCATCGGCTAAGGTGGGGCGGGTAGTGAGGGTCCTGCCCCCTCACTTCTGTGAATACAGTTCCATAGACATGTCTGAGTCTAAAAGCCCTTCGTTGACCTCATCAGAAGGCCCCCTTACCTCCAAAGGATCTGGGGGGAAAGCTCAAGCTAGAGTCTCCCAGCAGGACTGAGTTACTAGTAGCCTTAACCTTTGTTTTTGAGAAGGGTTGAGGGTAGGGCATTCCCTCCCCTCCCTGCCCCTCCTCCCCATGGCCGGTTCTGGCACTTGGCCCAGGTATAAAATCGCCAGCACTGTCGCTGCTTTTTGGTCTTATTATGAGTGTGTCTGTTCCGCTGTGCTGGTTGTAGCATGTCGCGGGGGGAATGTGAGCACAGAAAAGGAAGCTATGTCAGATCTTTTCACTCCTCATGTTAGAAGCCTGCTGCTGAGTAGCCTGTAGGTCGGGTGGGAAAAGACAGGTTACCATGTCCTGAGGGGTGTGGAACCAGGCTACTTCATGTAACTATGAAAGTTCCAGTGGTCAGGTCACTTTGCTTCTTCCTGAAGTCTCCTGGTCATTTCTGTCAGTTATCTGTAGACAGAAACGTGTGGCTGAGGCCGTGCCCCTAAGTGGCGGACTCAGTCTTGTGCCCCGACTCTGCCTAGTAGGGGTCTCATACTTTTCCACTGTTAGTCATCGTTAGGAATCACATGTTTCATTTCAGCAGAATGAATTACAGTGATTTACTAGGTAATAGCCTTGAGCTGACCAAATGCAACTTGAGATCCTGTTCTTTCATGAAATACCTGCCAGTGAGTATAGTGAACTTATAATTTTGTTAAGTCTAAGCAAATCCCAGTATCTGACTGGGCATCTCTACCGTTCAGAGGTCTGAGGCTGTTTTGTACAAATCCTTACACTCCCTAGATCTAGGGCCCTAACAGTGTTGGCTTGTCAGGAAACCTCCACCTCTTGAAAGCCATCCTGATCCCCTAAAAATCCATTTCTTATTTTTGATGTGATTCTAAGTTTCAGTTTTTTATTTTTTTCAGAAAGTTTTATTTCTGCTATATTTTTAGATTCAAAAGTATTTATTTAAGGTGAACAAATGATACTGCATACACAACTGCTGGAACTGCTTTTAATTGAGAACAAGAAAGGAATACCTAAGACAAGAATATGCAATTACCACACTTATTGTTTCCAGTGAATTTTTGTCAAGTTTGTTTGTCTTATTGTTAATGTGATGATACAGCAATCCTTGGAAAAAGAATAACATTTGCGTTAAAGAACAAATCTAGATAAAAATGG